ACAAATGAAATTGGAATAATGGGCAAAGGAGCAGAAGGGAAGGTAGGGATTATTGTGCGATTACGAAAACCGGAGAAGAATAACACATTTTTCTTTAACACAATGCTTTGATTCCTTGACAAAACTTTTTTTCTACAGTATGTCCTTTTTAATTTGAATATTTGAATGAATAAAAAAAATGCCACGCCAATCATGTTAAACAAGTGTATTTATGTACCTGGAACTCTAATGAAAAGGAACAGAACTTTCAAATCAAAAAGCACTATTCTTTGGATAGTTAATGTTTCACCAAGGAGACATCTTTCGAAATGCCAATCAGTTTGACAAGCAATTACCTGCTGCGATTAATTGAAGGACCTCCAGAAGTGATAACAAAAGGGGGAAAATATTCAGTTTATTGTCTAGTTACACTTCCTTGTCGAAGAATAGATTATGGAATTTGTTAATGAAAGAGTCTCTGAAATGTGAACAGAATAACAGGTCAGCACCACAGTTTTAGGTAAATGGGTTGCTGTACGGCACTTTTCAAATTTCTTAAAGGGAATCGATAAGCGCAGTTCTGTCTGATTGTAATCCATAAAAAACGTGGCAGTGATGACTAACCAGATGATTCTGAACTACAACATCCTTGTTGCCTTGACAGATCCCTTTTATGCCAGTGAATTACATTACTGGCAGGGTTACACCAGTCTTGCCCCCACCCAAGATGTTGTCGAGTATGCCAGTCATAATGTCGCTTGCAAACAATGTGACTAAAAGGCAAGATAATGAATATTACCTTCAGGGTAATTCAATAGTGTGAAATGTCAGGAACTTTATCGCAGATAAAAATAGTCAAACAAAAAACATAATTTACGCACGGGTATTTTATTCCGGCCTAAAATGTCTGGCTTGAAATTTTAAGATGACCATACAGAATACACTTAGCAATATACTAGAGCCATTTGCCAATTTAAAACATAAAACAGAATTTAAAAAAAAACTATTTTGTCAAATCCCACATACCTGACAACCTTTCATTTATATATTCATGGTTATTCACTGTTTATTCACTGTGCACTCATTGCATAGGTTATTGTGCTAGGAGGTCACCGGACTGTTGTGTTTCTCAACACAGTTGTATAAATGCTACAGTTTACAGAAATCACTGCAGCTTCACACAAAAGATCCAAAGTTTTGTGGAATGGAATATAAACTAGATCTCTAAAGTATGTGCTCAAACACGGTAACTGTAAACTTGGAGTCGGTAAGTTATCGAAGTTTGGCTGCTGTTTTCTGGGACTTCTCTGGGTGAGGTTTGAGGTGTTAAACACCATCAATTCACCACCAGATCTCTACCAGATGTGTTTGTATTATTACAACCCTTCTCTAATCAATAGGAGTTATAGTCAGGGATATATAAAGTTATAGGACGAGTAATAGGGAGAGTTATATGGAGCAATAGGAGGAGTTATAGGGAGGGTTATATGGAGTAATAGGAGGAGTTATAGAGAGGGTTATATGGAGCAATAGGAGGAGTTATAGGGAGGTTTATATGGAGTAATAGGAGGAGTTATAGGGAGCAATAGGAGTTATAGGGAGCGTTATATGGAGCAATAGGAGGAGTTATAGGGAGGGTAATATGGAGCTATAGGAGGAGTTATAGGAAGGGTTATATGGAGCAATAGGAGGAGTTATAGGGAGGGTTATATAGAGCAATAGAAGTTATAGGGAGGGTTATATGGAGCAATAGGGGGAGTTATAGGGAGGGTTATATAGTTTAATAGGGGGAGTTATAGGGAGGGTTATATGGAGTAATAGGAGGAGTTATATGGAGGGTTATATGGAGTAATAGGAGGAGTTATAGGGAGGGTTATATGGAGTAATAGGAGGAGTTATTTGGAGCAATAGGGGTAGTTATAGGGAGGGTTATATGGAGTAATAGGAGGAGTTATAGGGAGCGTTATATGGAGTAATACGAGGAGTTATAGAGAGGGTTATATGGAGTAATAGGAGGAGTTATAGGGAGCGTTATATGGAGTAATAGGAGGAGTTATAGAGAGGGTTATATGGAGTAATAGGAGGAGTTATTTGGAGCAATAGGAGGAGTTATAGGGAGGGTTATATGGAGTAATAGGAGGAGTTATGGGGAGCGTTATATGGAGTAATAGGAGGAGTTATAGAGAGGGTTATATGGAGTAATAGGAGGAGTTATATGGAGCGTTATATGGAGTAATAGGAGGAGTTATAAAGAGGGTTATATGGAGCAACAGGAGGAGTTATAGAGAGGGTCATATGGAGCAATAGGAGGATTTATAGGGAGGGTTATATGGAGCAATAGGAGGAGTTATAGGGAGGGTTATATGGAGCAATAGGAGGAGTTATAGGGAGCGTTATATGGAGTTATAGGAGGAGTTATAGGGAGGGTTATATGGAGCAATAGGAGGAGTTATAGGGAGGGTGTAACGGATCACCTGGCACTCCGACTGGGTATCTCCGTTGAAGGATGCTCCTAGCGCTTCCTGAGGGCTCCAAGCACTCCAGCCGACACCATAACCACCGTGGACTCCTTCAGAGAGCAGGACAGGAACAAGCTCTTACAAGAGCTTAGTAGTGATTTAGCAAGGGAGAATTACAAGCATAGCAATCCCTTGTAGCAGATTCCCCCAATAAGAGACAGCACTTCAGATTGAGGGTGAAGTAGAACTGACTGTACTGGCACATACAGCCTCTTTTATTCACAATCCACAAACATAGTACTGCCCACATTGTTTGGAAATACAACCAATCAATCTGTACAATACACACAGACACTCCCACACAAAATCCTCCCCTCTGCCTGTGATATGATTACTGAACACAATGGTTAACATAATTATCACAGGCAGAGAAATACAGTATTATAAAACATATCACAGTTATAGGAAGCGTTATATGGAGTAAAAGGAGGAGTTATAGGGAGGGTTATATGGAGCAATAGGAGGAGTTATAGAGATGGTTATATGGAGCAATAGGAGGAGTTATGGGGAGGGTTATATGGAGCAATATGAGGAGTTATAGGGAGCGTTATATGGAGTAAAAGGAGGAGTTATAGGGAGGGTTATATGGAGCAAAAGGAGGAGTTATAGGGAGGGTTATATGGAGCAATAGGAGGAGTTATAGAGATGGTTATATGGAGCAATAGGAGGAGTTATAAAGAGGGTTATATGGAGCAATAGGAGGAGTTATAGGGAGCGTTATATGGAGCAACAGGAGGAGTTATATGGAGCTACAGGAGGAGTTATAGGGAGGGCTTTATGGTGCATGGAAATGAGTTACAGGAACGTTTATATTGAGCAATAGGAAGAGTTATATGAAATAGTTAAATTGAGCAATAAGATGAGTTATACATCTTTATTATATACATCAGGAGTTATGGGATTTTAGTATACAAACTATATTATCAGTTACTGGGTGTAACCGCAGATGAAAAGAAAAAATAAATGTTTAAAATTTCCAAGTGTGAAGCTTTCCATGATTCCGGAGTCTTGTGTACCTATTTTGGAAAAGCATTTGGCAAACAGAAAAAGTTAATGTTTTAAAAATGAGATAATTGAGCTCTCAGCATTCTAGAAAGCTTTACAAATTTGCCAAGTTTATGTCAGTTCTTATCTGCACATCTCAGGGTAATCCTATAAGTGACATAACTTAAGCATAAAGCCTAGAACTTAAATCCCCCCAGGTTTGGGTTAAAAATATCTTGGAACTGGATTTCCATGAGGAAACTTGGAATATGGTGAGAAACGTACATAAATACATGTAATTCTCTGTGAACGTTATGACGAGTAACAGTCTGGGAATATATAAGCCAGACTGATCACGGTAAACGTGGGGCAAGTGATGGCAATCTGAAGCACAGTTATTCAGACCTGACGATATTGGTTCAATTAACCCAGAGATCTCTGCATTTCTTAGGGGTAGGAGTATGAACCAATGGCAAGAAATTAATAGTAAGGCACCAAGAATTCAGGAACGGGCTGAGCTGGTACAGCACAAAACTTTAAAGGGACACTAAAGGCACCACAACAACTTTCTTTTGATGAAGCGGTTTTGGTGTATAGATCATGCTCATGCAGTCTCACTGCTCAATTCTCTGCCGTTTAGGAGTTAAATCCCTTTGTTTATACAGTCGTAGCCACACCTCCCTGCTAGTAACATGCACAGCCTTCATAAACACTTCCTGAAAAGGTACCTAGATGTTTTACGTTCCTTTGTTGCACCATCAGTTTAATTTTCAATTTCTTATCTCCTTCTCTTCCATGTGCCGGTGGGGGATATCCCAGTCCCAGGAGAATGTTCCTATGGTCCGTGACAACACTATTAACGGGAGCTTACAACACCATAAAATGGCAGAGGTCACAGAATGGCCTTCTCAAGCTACAGAGCCTCATTCAATTCTCCAACGGCAGGATGATATTTTCACAGTCTTCTGGCTCCGCATTGCAGAGAGATAGATAGTCTCTTCACTGATCCCACAATATGCCTCACCTGTTGTGGACTGTGAAGGAGACCCTGCCGGGCTGACAACAGCTGACGCACCAAGCAGCCAGGACCTCAAGCAACGGTCCTTCACCCTAGAGGCTGAGGATTCTGCTCTCAAGCACGGCACCCCCTCACCCCCCACTGGGCCGAAGATCGCTATATATGGCTACCAAGCTGTAGATTATACATGTGCCCTATACTCATCATTTCTCTGCCCTGCCTGCCAAGGCGAGTTCCTGCAGTCGAAAGAAACCCAGCGTGAGACCATAGCACCTGCCTTATTGGACATTGTCCTGACCCCAACTTCGACAATCTTGCGCATCCAGTTCCAGCGGCTTTGCAGATCTGGCATTGGCTGATCCCAGGGTCAGCCATCATGTGGACGGCTCCTATACTTCCACATTGTTAATGTAACTGTGTTTGCTATATGCTGATTTTCCTTCAGTGTGCATAGAATTTGCCTTCTTGTTTTATTTAATTTTATATATGCACCCTGTACACTGCTCTCCTTGCCGATACTGCCACAGTGACCTGGTTGATATTCCCCATGACTAGTAAAATCTTTCGGGTCGAAAAGAGGTTTGAGCAAGAAAACAATCACTTGAAGGATAAGCCCAGTGGTATGTATCTACAGAGTCAGGTACTAAACTGACCAAGCTACGTCATGGGCATATCAATATTTGCTGTGCTACAAAAATTAATGAAATCCTAGTCTTCATCCAAACACAACTTGCAACTTCTAGCTCTTCGGACACCACCCAGTATTCACTCAGGACCCCCACCTTTTTGGGTGGAATTGGAAATTGTTTCCTATTATTATTTATAGATGGTAATAGATGGTCTTGTGGCACCTCAAAACCTTGTATTAGTTTAAATAACCTTAAAAAAAAATTCACAATTTGTTTTCTGCTTTTATGGTTGTTTTTACCCCCCTGTTTATGTAGGCTAAAGGTGATTTTAACTGTATTGTTACAGCTTACTTATAACAAGGAAAAATAGGTAATCTGACATGCTGACCTTCAAGACTTGGATTAATTACCTGATCGTACTTTGACAACTCACTGAGCATCATCGCTTAAAGGACCACTATAGTGCCAGGAAAACATACTCGTTTTCCTGGCACTATAGTGCCCTGAGGGTGCCCCCACCCTGAGGGTCCCCCTCCCACCCGGCTCTGGAAAGGGGAAAGGGGTAAAAACTTACCTTTTTCCAGCGCTGGGCGGGGAGCTCTCCTCTTCCGATCCTCCTCCTCTCCGCCCATTCGGCTGGCTGCGCGCGCATTTTCACAGTGAGAATCACGCAAGTGCCTCTAGCGGCTGTCAATGAGACAGCCGCTAGAGGCTTTAGAGGAAGGATTAACCCATTTATAAACATAGCAGTTTCTCTGAAACTATGCTTATTTAAAAAATGGGTTAACCCTAGCTGGACCTGGCACTCAGACGACTTCATTAAGCTGAAGTGGTCTGGGTGCCTAGAGTGGTCCGTTATTCACTAAAGAGAGAACTCAAAGTCAGTTCACAGTGAATTTAAATTTACTTTCAAAACAGCCAAACTGGAAAAATTAAAGTTTGGCTACTTTGGCCTTGAATAAATTCACTCTGAATTCTCACTTTAGAGAATAATCCCGTATTTTACCTTCCATGAAAAGGGGCTTCCAAAGTTTGGGGTTTAACCTCTAGAAACAGAGTGTTGCCTTGTTTGGTCATCGAGTTCATGGAACTAAAATCGGACACTAACTCGTGAACACCGCTGAACTTTCACGACCACCTGCTCTGTTGCTATTCATGTCAGGAGAGTGCCAGTCGGTAGGATTGTTCGCATGAACTAGGCGAACAATCGCTACCTAGGAGCCAGACGACTGGTTCGGTATTTTGTTCGGTTTGAGACTCCCAAAACTGTCCGACTGCTACCACTTTTCTAATGGAACTATTTTGGGCAGAAACCATGTGTGCGTTCAGTCAAAAGTTGACTTCCATGGAAAATCCGAACCACTGAACCCAGAGGCGTAACTAAAACTACGGGCCATGGTGCAAAAATTGCCCTGGGGCCCCCCCCATAGGTCTACCTTCCCCCAAATGTCCTTGCCCCCCCACATGTCCCCGCCCCCCCACACATGCAGACAAACAGATACACATGCAGAGACACACATAGATGTACACATGACACACATACATGTACACACAAACATACATACAGACACACACATACATACACACATACATACAAACATGCATACACACACATACATGCACACATACACACCGAGACCCATACATACATACACACACACGTAGACACACATATACACATTCAGAGACAAACATACAGACACACATACACTAACACACACATGCAAAATGTTTTAGTCACCCTCCTGTTTCCTACCTTTTAGGTTCAGGTGACTTTCCCTGGGGTCCAGTGGTGGCTCAGCCTGATGGGAGTCAGAGTTCCCACACCTCCTCTCTTCCTCCCGCATGGCTCCCGGTGGTTGCTGGGAGGAAGTCACTTAGGAATTAGGAAGGCCAATATTAAGTCTGTGCATATCCGCAGTCTGCCCCCACACGCATAGCATGATGGTGACAGATGGTCAGTGGCGACACTGTCCCCCCCCATTGACAACCAAGTTATCCCCTGATTTCCTGAACACCCGTCATCCTGCAGTTCGAAGTATCGGGCTGCAGGGAGAACTTGGCCTCATAGTTGGATTACAGGTAAATATATTTGAAATCTTTATTTTTATTAATTTTTTTTTTTTTTTAATAAAACACAGTTTTTTTCGTGGAATAACTCTTTCATTTGAAATAGAAAAATTGTGTATTGTATTCACTCCCTGCTGAAATTAAATGAAGATTATTTTTAGGAAACTGAGTTTTTCTTGAACATGGGCGGCAAACTGTGACTTTTGACCTGTGTTTGTTTAAATCAATGATAAGTAAACTATATGCAATACTTGAAGTGGACTAGTAAACAAGAGATAAGAGAGGAAACGTCTTGCAATCTCTAAACTTCTACACTTCAGGTTAAATCAGTTTCTATACACATAAATTATATATTTATTTGTGGTCGGGATACGAAAGGCCGTAAGCTGTAAGAAATAAACATAACATAGGAAACGTAACATAGCAATAAAGTTGGTTGAGGTGTGCCCTAAAAATGCTCTGTACTACATATAGTTTATATAACACAATTGTTTTTAAATTACAGATAGGGTAAGTATATCCATAAATAGGTGAACATGAGTGATTTACACAGTGATATCACCAGTAGCGTACTCAGGAGGGGACGGGAGGCGCGGTCTGCCCCGGGCGCCACTCACTAAGGGGTGCCCGGGGTAGACTGCAATGCCCTTCCCGCGCCCATCGCCGTGACCGGTCTGCAGCTCCGCAATGTGCAGAGCTGCAGACCATGGATCTTGCGTGCACTGCCCAATCAGATCGTTGCCGCAGGTTACCACAGCAACGCTCTGACTGGGTCTCGCAAGATCCATGGTCTGCAGCTCTGCGGAGCTGCAGACCTGAATTGATGGGCACTGGAGCACCAGGGAGCCCACCGGACCACCAGGCAGCCCCCCCACTGAATCACCAGGGATTTAAGGTAATTTTTTAGTCCCCCCTGCATCACCCCTACTTCCTCAGACAATAACCCCCCCTCACACAAAAACACCCCCATATCACACAATGACCCCCCCCTCTCCTCATCCCCCTCCCTCTCTCATCACTCACCCTCCCTCCCTCACAATCACCCCTCCCTCTCCTCATCACCCCCCTCTCTCCAATCACCCCTCCCTCTCCAATCACCCCCTCCCTCTCACAATCACCCTCCCTCCATGAGCTCCCTCTCACAATACTCCCTCCCTCTCACAATCACCCCCCCTCATCACCCCCTCCCTCTCACAATCACCCCTCCCTCTCATCACCCCCCCCTCTCACAATCCACCCCCCTCTTCTCATCACCCCTCCCTCTCCTCATCACCCCCATCACCTCCCCTACCTCTCCTCATCTTCCCCCTCCCTCTCACAATTATCCCCCCCCTCTCACAATCACCCCCGAGCTCCCTCTCACTTCACCCCACCACACACCATCACCCACCCACATCCCTCTCACCATCACCCCTTCCCTCACACCATTATCCACTCTACAAGCACACACACTGCATTCACTATACAAACACACACAGACACACACTTATACATGTGTGTCTGTGTATCTGTATGTGTGTTGGTATGTGTATCTGTATGTGTCAGTGTGATTATGTGTATCTGTTTGTGTGTCTGTGTTTGTATCACTGTGTATGTATGTGTGTCTCTGCCTGTGTGTTTCTCTCTGTGTCTGTATGTGTGTGTGTTTTTATCTATATGTGTTTTTGTATCTGTGTGTCTATCTGTGTCAGTGTTTGTCTGTATCTGTGTATGACTGTGTTTCTATGTAACTGCATGTGTGTACCTATGTGTCTGTGTATGTGTGCCAGTGTGTGTATATGTAAGTATATGTATGTATATGTGCATACATCTCAGCATTTCGCCTACACTACACACAAATACAACCCTGCATCCAAATGTCAACACTACCTAAAAACACACCACCATATTCAAAAACCACACTACAGAAAAATGCACGCCTGCATTCAAATGCCAATACGTGCAAACACACCCGTACATTCACTCACACATACAAAAACATGGAGGGGGGTGCCAAATATAGGACACGCCCCGGGTGCCAAATGCTCCAGATACGCCCCTGGATATCACTTCTTTCTTTAGGTAAGATTAATTCTGTATATACACCTTTAAAACAAGAGCTGGCAGAATAGTGTGACATAAATCTATAGAATAAGTGTTTAAAAATCAAAGACTCACATGCTCCAGAGCTAAAACCCTTTATGCTCCATTATTTTGACCAAGGCTGGCCCATAAGTACTGACCGTCTAGCCCTAGGGCATTATGTGCATCAAGTGCATCTTGGGCTTCTATATCACCGGCACTGGCTACGATGGATAATCACAATAAATCAAAGGCTTTATGTTTCCAGAAACATAATATTTTTCTTTCGAATACCTCTTTGTTCGTTTACAACATATCCTGCTATTTTAGTGCAATCAGCACGTACACCAACACTTCTTGTGACTAAGCTTTTCAGTACAGCTGGAGTGCACGTTCCCAGATTAAAAACCCTGGCACTGTGTAATTAGCCTTTGATCTTCCATAAAACAAGCACATATTTTAATTGGATAATAACTGTTCCTAGGTGAACACCTTGAGTTCTGAGGATGGAACCAGTCCAAGGCAATGATTGCTAATGATACTGAAGCTGTGGCACAAACAAGTAAACATGTCTGACCAGTCTAGGAACTCAAAGGTTGGGAAATATAAAGTTTAATCCCCAGGAGAAGATAAGACAGCAATAGAATGTAGAACAGATTGGGACAGAAATGTTCTATCCAAAACAGCAAATAGAGAAGCAGGTTAAATATAAATCAGGGCATAGATTTTTACAGCAGGTAGAAGAAGGACAAGATTAGGTGCAGATACCATGCAGATATATCCAAGAAAAACATTTTTAAAATGTTGTAATCATCTCAGAGTTGCTCTGTGCTATAATAAATCATCAACACAATGCATAGACTATATGTTGCCCATTCTATAAGTGCATTATGAGGTCATTAAAATACAGTATTTTTCCTACTGTGTAAGTTGGAATGTAGGCCACTAAACAGCTCAACTGCGGAGATCGTTGGTTCTCGTAGGCTATCGACGTTGCATGTTCTAATCTGCATTTTGAAAAATAATTTAGTAATAAAATAAAAATAGTAAAAAAATTTCATGTTAGTCGAAGACAAGAATACAGTTCCTCTCTAATAGTATAATCCACAACACATGAGTTTGGACCTCAAAAATGGGTCCTCATGTCACTTAGAAAAAAGCTTTCTGGTTTTTACCAGAATGAATACATCATTAGATACACTTGAGTTGTACAAACGCAACATAAGTAATTCTGAATGTACGAGAATAGGTCAGAAACTTTCTTTGCACAGGTAGCACTGAATGCCACTTCAATTGTAATGCTGGGCTGGCATGCATTTTTTTTAGATGAGACCAGGGGTGTAGGATTTTTTTTTTTTAAATTGACTTTTCCAAGGGTAGCTCAATCTACTTGACCTGACACAAAATAATATCAATCACAAAGACTCTTAAGCTCTTGCTTAAAGCCATGGACCATAACAGAACTATTTGCAATGTGTGTGTGTGTGTGTGTGTGGTGGCTGTATGTACTATGTGTGTTGGCTGTATGTAACGTGTGTGTGGTGTATGTTGGCTGTATGTACTGTGTGTGTGGTGTATGCTGGCTGTATTTATTGTGTGTGTGCTGTCTGAATGTAATGTATGTGTGGTGTGTGCTGTGTGTGTAGTGTGTGCTGGCTATATGTAATGTGTGTGTGCTATTTAATGTGTCTAACATCATGATGTATGCCGGGGCCAAACCGCTGAGCATTGTGAGGAGTTGCTGCCCCTACTTGAACCTTCCCATGCCCTGCGGTCTACTACAGCCCCTAGCTGGCATTATGCGCATCAGACAGTCCTTCCACCGCACCTCTGGCAGCAGGCCTACCACTTGTTTGCGGCAGGGCTATTAGAACAGAAAACCTGCTTGCATGGAGCCCAGAACTGCATGTCCTAGGTGTCAGTAGATATAAATTCCCCATCCCTGAAGATTGCCCCCCTGGAATGCCCCCTGTAACAAGAACAGGGTAGACTGGTCCTCAGCTTGAGTTTCAGACATGTTCTCTCCGACCCTTCTTCGCTGGCACCAGAGACCATCATCAGGATTCTTCAGGGTAAGCTCTTACCCTATACCCACTAAACAGGCACATATCTCCTCTGACCGCTCGTTCCACCAGATAAGAATAAATAACTTTGAGTGCACCCGACCTCGTCTTTAAAAATACATTTTTGGTTCACAGGCCCAACTGATTAAGCTCTCAGCGCACAAGTCTGAAGACTCCATCACTATACCCCCAAATAACAGAGACAACACTCCTGTTTAGGGGGGCAAAAATATCCAAGCAACCTCCACTACTATTCACTACTTCACTAAGGACTAGCCTTGAAAACAAATTTCATTGTGACATAGAAAAATACTATATTAAATATAAAAATAGAGGTACAATATCAGTATATAATTGAATATCTATTCTTAACTATTGTTAACGTAAAAAAGACACAGACATCATAATGTAAAGAAATGTGTCTGCAAGAATCAGAATATTCAAATATATGCACGTTAGGCCAATTAAAAGGTTCAGCATTCTCACTACAACCCTAAAAGGCAAAGACTTCAATGGCAGTGACACATTCAGAAACATATTCCGTTACATCACCAATGACACAAACAGAGTCACTGGTACAACCATTATTTCCGCATTTATATTTCTCGAAGCTGTGGAGTATCGCCGGCAACCACAGCATATGCCCCCAACCTCCAAATTTTCTGTGGACAGTTCTGAGGGTATGTTTAGGAAATGTCAAGTTTCATCCACCTCTACTGCAACTTTCGATCTCTAAATACTGTAATTTCTACGTAGTTAAGAGAAGTTGAAAAGCATAGGTAAAAGTAAATGTCTAGGAAAATAA